TCCGTGCGCGGGATTTGCCCCATGAACTCGATCACGTCTGGCGTCGCTGCATACGCCTGGCCCCACCGCCTGCGGCCGAGGGGAGGGGCGCATACAGGGTAGGGAATGACGAGGAGGATGAGATGGAGCAGGGAAGGAAACTCAAGGAGAGCTCCATACATGTCCACGGAATGGAAGAGGCCACAGATGAGTTCCATAAACTCCTCCACCACGCCTGAGGTCGCTCTGTATGCCCCTTCCATTTTTGGCCCCACCGCCTGGCGCCGAGGGGAGGGGCGCACATCAGGGAACAGAGAGAGGAAGAGGCGGGCAGGCAGAGAGGAACAAGGAGAGCTGCTAGATCACGTGCAAGCAGAGAGCGTGCATACACTGGTTGAGTCGACTAGATCACGTTCCCCTTTTCCCCCTCCCCCCTTCCCACTCACTTGGCGGCGCGGGCGTCATAGTCCATCTGCTTGTCGACATTGGGGTTGAGATGCACCACCAGGTCAGCCAACGCGGCCAGGCAGCTTTCTACTCAACACAAAAGCCTCCTTCTTCCCCTTCTTCGTTCTTTCCCCCTTTCCCCTTTCCCCCTCCCCCAATCCCGTCCCCATTCCCCCCCCTCCCCCTTCCCACTCACTTGGCGGCGCGCGCGTCATAGCCCATCTGCTTGTCGACATTGGGGTTGAGATGCACCACCAGGTCAGCGGAGGCAGCCAGGCGGTCATGCCCATGGTCATCGTTGGACATGGCGGGGAGGGTGCCGTTGGCTACCATGTCCGCCACGACCCGCTCACAGTCGGGGTTCACCATTGGAAAGAAGAAGCAGTCCCACGAGAGAGATGTGGCGTTGGTGGCTGGGGAGGGGCGAGCGGAGGGAGAGGGGGGAGAGGGAGGGGGGAGAGAGGGAGGGGGGAGAGAGGGAGGGGGGAGAGAGGAGGGAAAGGAGGGAAAGGGAAACGGTTCCAGTTGCTCGTAGTGGGGGTTCACCATGGGGACGAAGAAACAGTCCCACGAGAGAGATGTGGCGTTGGTGGCTGGTGCGAGGGAAGAGGAGGGTGGGGAGGAGGAGGGGAGGGAGCGGGAGAAGGTGCAACGGGAGTGTGAAAGAGGTGTACCGTGCAAGCATGGGGAAAGGGAAACAGCCCTACGGACGGAGTCACAATCGGGGTTCACTATGGGGAAGACAACGCAGTGACGGGAGAGAGAGAGAGAGAGAGAGAGAGAGAGAGAGAGAGAGAGAGAGAGAGAGAGAGAGAGAGAGAGAGAGAGAGAGAGAGAGAGAGAAACCATTCTACAATCAAGCTTTCACGCCTGAAATCTCTCTGAACCTATTCTTGCTCTAAAAGAAACCGCTGCCTCGTAATGTCTCCCACCACAAAGTGGTGCTCCTTCACTACGGGGAAGGAAGACAAAGCAGTGACGGGAGAGGGATGTTGCATTGGTGGCTGGGGACTGGGGGAAGGTGGGGGTGGGGGAGAGGGGGATAGGTTGGCGGTGTGGGTGGAGCAGGGAGGTAGGTATGGGTGTGGTGGGAAGGGGAACGGGCCTACACTGAGCAATGAGTGACGGTTGAAGAAGCAAGGTTGCAATGAGTGACGGTTGAAGAAGCAAGGTTGCAATGAGTGACGGTTGAAGAAGCAAGGTTGCAATGAGTGACGGTTGAAGAAGCAAGGTTGCAATGAGTGACGGTTGAAGAAGCAAGGTTGCAATGAGTGACGGTTGAAGAAGCAAGGTTGCAATGAGTGACGGTTGAAGAAGCAAGGTTGCAATGAGTGACGGTTGAAGAAGCAAGGTTGCAATGACTGACGGTTGAAGAAGCAAGGTTGCAATGAGTGACGGTTGAAGAAGCAAGGTTGCAATGAGTGACGGTTGAAGAAGCAAGGTTGCAATGAGTGACGGTTGAAGAAGCAAGGTTGCAATGAGTGACGGTTGAAGAAGCAAGGTTGCAATGAGTGACGGTTGAAGAAGCAAGGTTGCAATGACTGACGGTTGAAGAAGCAAGGTTGCAATGACTGACGGTTGAAGAAGCAAGGTTGCAATGAGTGACGGTTGAAGAAGCAAGGTTGCAATGAGTGACGGTTGAAGAAGCAAGGTTGCAATGAGTGACGGTTGAAGAAGCAAGGTTGCAATGAGTGACGGTTGAAGAAGCAAGGTTGCAATGAGTGACGGTTGAAGAAGCAAGGTTGCAATGAGTGACGGTTGAAGAAGCAAGGTTGCAATGAGTGACGGTTGAAGAAGCAAGGTTGCAATGAGTGACGGTTGAAGAAGCAAGGTTGCAATGAGTGACGGTTGAAGAAGCAAGGTTGCAATGAGTGACAGTTGAAGAAGCAAGGTTGCAATGAGTGACGGTTGAAGAAGCAAGGTTGCAATGAGTGACGGTTGAAGAAGCAAGGTTGCAATGAGTGACGGTTGAAGAAGCAGGGCCGGAATGACAGTTCCTTGGTTGACCTTTAACCTTTGTACATTGCCCATCCACCCACCCACACCGTGGACTGTGTGCAAAGAAGAGGCGCACCATTGCAGGCAGCGGTGGTGGCGCGGTCGTAGGAGGCGGGCAGCGGCACGAGCGTGCGGTTGTGGACCATGGCCATGCTCAGGAACGCGCTCATCACATGCACCTGGCGGCGTCGTGGCGGGTGGTCGGTGGGCGGGAGGGATGGACGGGTAGAGGGATGGACGGTGGGTGGGTGGTGGGCGATGGGTGGGCGATGGGTGGACAGATGGACGAAGGAGGTGGGAAGGGTAGGCAGACGAGCAAGCAGGCAGGCAGAGGAGCAGGCAGGCAGGCAGGCAGACGAACCGACAGGCACATAAGCACGCAGGCCCCGACCCCTCTTCCACCCCCACTTCCCCCTTCTTTCCCCCCCCTCTCCTCCTTCCCCCCCGCGCCCACCTGTGACCCCACACCATGCAGCCTGCCCAAAGACCAGGGCACGACGAGCAGGCGCCTGGAGTCACAGGAGCCGGGGAACATCTGGTACTCCCACAGGTCCCTCTGCGCCACGCGCGTCAACGGCAGGTTGTCCGCGTCCGCCCCGCGCACCTGGCGGACGCACGGCGAGTGGTGGGGAAGGGCGGGGCGGGGAAAGAGGGGAGGTGGGGAGGGACGCGATGAGAGAAGGCCGGGAGAGAAGGCGGGGAGAGACTGGGAGGAAAAAAGGGGGGAGAACGTCAATGGCTGCGAAGGGAAGCAGAGGAGGAAAAATGGAGAGACGGAGAAACTCATACCCACGGGGGTTGCGGGTTGCATCCGCAGCAGTCGGACGGCCGAGCCCACACAGGCGACTCCCCGTTCGCTCCGCGCTGCTCCGCCGCCTTTCTAGCCGCCGTCAGCGCCGCGCAGTCCTCCAGATGCGGCGCGGGCGGCACGTTGGGCGGCAAGGTGACTTTTTCGGGCGGCATTTCGATATCAGGTTTTAGACCGTATGCTTCCTCCCATGCCTGATAACATCGAAGCGGGGAGGGATGTGATGAAACGTCGTTAAGGCCGGGGACTCAACCGTCTTGATAAAACGTCTCCCTGCGTGCAGGCACGCGACTTATGCGTCGAGCTAAAACATTTCTCTGCGTGCAGGCAGGTGCACGCCAGAAGTCACGTGGAGATCGACACGGTTCGCTCGTTGCCTGAAAGATTGAACGTACTTCTCGGAGCATCTAGAAGGAACGACTCACTCGGAAGAGAGACATGGATCGCTCGATACCCGCCTCGCCGCCGATCTGCCCGCCTGGCGTGTTGGGCATCTGCGCCGTGACAGGCGGCGGCGATGCGCAGAGCAAGGCGAGGAGCGCGACGGCGATTACGAAAGACATGGTGTGGCCAAAAATGAAAGAGTAATTTGATCGAAAATGAACGATTAGGGAAAAACGACTAGCATTTCGGACGGGTGAGAGAGGAAGTGTTATGGGTGAGGAGATGTCCGTGAAGGGCGGAGAGAGGTGCTGGTGGTGTGTGATGATTGGGGGAGTGGTGTTGGTGATGGCGATGGTGTAGCTGTACGCGATTGAAGGCGAGTGAATTTATGCACAGAGTAGCGATGGCTTGGAAAAAACGTTTGAGGATGTCTAAAGAGGCATTGAATCTATGACTTCATGGGTTTTAACAGAAGCAAACTAAAGAAGCCACGCTGCTGGTTACCACAATACACATTGTCACGAGGCGGTACCGAACTCTCTGGGCGAAACAAAGGCATGTGTCACGAAGGCCGAACGAGTTTTTCGCCCACACGATTCCTTATCCCAGCCGTAGGATTCAACACGCCACAGCGACCACACCAATTCTCCTCGCCTCGCGGAACGTCCGATGTCCACGACTCAACCTGTCGCTGAACCCAGCCTTGAGATTGACACCAGCCACGTCAGAAGTCATGCGACCAGGCTCGCGAAGCTCGCGACATCCACAACTTCTATCCAAGAGCCAAACGAGATCTCATGAAACAGGTAACCTTCGCTTCCCTAAGCTCGTTTGACTCGTGGTGATCTGGCCTGTCCATCACCGTCCACCTTTCCACCCCAACCCGTCTGGCCGAAACCTTTTTCTCCCCCTTCCCTTATCGTTTCCGATACCTTTTCCCCTGGGGCCTTTTCCCACTGCCTACGTGGCTTCAAGGCTTGGAGGTCCGCTGCGACCCAGCCCAGCCCAGGCCTGCTGGCAGCAGGCGGCTGATCAGGCGCCGATCCCGGCCTCGGAATACCTCATTCGGTCAATTTTACCTTTGCAGAAACCAATGGAGGCCGCCGTTGCCGCGGATCTGGCCTTCAGTGCCCGAGAGGCCGCATTGGGTTCGTCTCTAGGGAGCGTAGCGGTGCGCGCAGGGCGTGACCTAGGGAATCGTGCGACGAGTCAGCTTTCCAGAAAATTCGGGCGGCCTCGAAACGCCAAATCTGTCAAGAGGTGGTCAAGCGGGAATGCGGAGGCTCGGTCGTGGGAAGCAGATTCGGTGACCGGGGAGGAACCCCAAGGATTTGGACGTCAAAACGGCTCGTCTTTCTGTCGCAACCGAAGACGTTCTGCCGCGATGCGGATCGGCGACCCGCTGGACGATCAGAAGCGGAGATCCGAGTCCGATCGCCGGCTGGTTTGCCGGTCGGCAAACGGCTCGCCGTCAGATTCTTCCGGTGAGCGAAGATTCCTCTCCTTAGTGGACAATGTAGGTATGGGATCGAAGCATGGGGCTGGAGAGAAGAAAAGGAGCGACAACGATCGGACCACCGCCGATGTGCCGGATGCTTTGTACCTGCAGTAACAGGCGAGAGGATCGGTGGTCTGATTCTAGTGTGCTCGCGAACCCTAACGGCCTCTCATATACTTCCTCATTCACCGCGTCTCCTCACCGTTCCACGTCCGCACTTTCTCTCCCCTTTTCCACGTCCGCCATTTCCTCCCCCACTCCCTTCGCGCGCAGATCCGCGCGCGATCGACCGCGAGATGCTGGAGCGCGCGGTGCAACTCGCGACGTCTTCCGCGGGGCTCACTGCGCCGCACCCCTTCGCGGGGTGCGTGCTGCGGCGGGACGCGCGCGTGGTGGCGGAGACGTGGCTGCACGCGCAGGGCACCGCGAGCGCGGAGAAGCAGGCGGTGGAGGCGGCGGGGGAAGCGGCGCGCGGAGCAACCGCGTATCTGAATCTGGAGCCTGGGGATTGCCATGGCGACGATACCGCCGTGCATGCTCTCATTCAGGTTGGGGAGATATCTAAGTTGGTTTGGGAAAATAAACGAATTAGGTCAAAGTATGAACCACTAGGTGGACGACTCAGAAGACGAGGGCTGGAAGACGTAAATGAACCTTTTATATGTGCCATTGCTGCTCTGGGACGGTTTGCCCCTTCATTTCCCTCCCTCTTCCCTTCGACCTCCCCCATTACTCCCATTTTCTTGCATGCGGGTGTATCCCAGGTAGTGGCTGAGCTGCTTCTGTAGTCGCCTCAAAAACCCTGTCCCCTTTCCCGCCTGGCTCCCCTCTCCTGGCAGGCGGGTGTGGCGCGAGTGATGGTGGGGCTGCTGATTCCTCTGCCGCACCATTTTTGAAGGCCCTCTTCCCCACTCCTCCCTTTCCTCCCCCCTCATTTCCCCTCCCACGGCCCTGCCCCAATCTTTTCACAGGCGGGCGTGGCGCGAGTGGTGGTGGGGCTGCTAAACCCGCTGCCGCACCACCACGGCAGGGCAGTGGCCATGCTGCGGCAGGCGGGCGTCACGGTGGACGTGCTGGGGGAGGGGGACCTGGCCCACCCGGACATGGATGTGAGTTGCCCCTACCCGCCCCCGTTGTATGGCTCTCCGAGAGGCAGCGGCCATGCTGTGACAGGCGGGTTATGGGGTGGACGTGTGGGGGAAGGGGATTTGGCTTATCCAGACATGGACTTGTCTACGTTTTAGGCGCCTCAAAAGTAGGGCAGGGAGGGCAGTGGAGAGGGGTACTTGTTGCCATTTGGCCCCTTCCACGTGTCCTGTGTCCTGTGCCGCTTGTCTCCGCCCCACCCTCTCCCTCCCCCCCCTCCTCCCCCTCGCCACCCCTCCCTCACTGTCCCCCCCTCTGTCACCCTACCATCGCACGTACGTTCCGCTTAGGTCTCCCTGGTTATACCTCATCCTCGCGCCTCATTTCTAGCCCGCCTCGCGCCCTGCTCACGCTCTCAATCCCTATTCCCCACTCCTCGTGCCCCATTCCCCGCTCTCCACGCCCGAATGCCGATGCCCCATTTCGCATGCCCTATTCCCCATGTCCCCATGCCCCATGCCCAATCTTTACGCTTCAACCCCCATGCCCCATGCCCCAATCCCTGTGCCCCATTCCCCATTCCCACTCCCCATTCCCTGATCCCTATGCCTCCGTCCTCACGCTCCATGCCTCATGTCCCGTTCCCCATACCCCGTGCTTCCTTATCTTGTACCCCACAATCCACAGCCTCATTCTCCTCTCTCCTGTGCCCCATCTTTCATGCCCGAACCCCATCCCCCATGCCCCACCCCTTTAGGACGTGGTGAGGAGCTGTCGGGGGGTGAACGAGGCGCTGCTGTTCCGCGCGCACACGGGCCTGCCCTTCTCCATCCTCAAATACGCCATGACGCTCGATGGTCAGTGCGTGTGTGTGAGCCCTTGCTCTCCATGCTGCCTGCCTGCCTGCCTGCCTGCCTGCCTGCCTGCCTGCCTGCCTGCCTGCCTGCCTGCCTGCCTGCCTGCCTGCCTGCCTGCCTGCCTGCCTGCCTGCCTGCCTGCCTGCCTGCCTGCCTGCCTTGGGGGGTGTGCAACGCTTGATGGTACGTCCATGTGCTTGTTCGGGGGGCTGGGGAGGGGAAGTGGGGGAAGGGAGGGGAGACGGTGTGGGTGCGGTATGTGCATGTGTGTGTGTGCGTGCTGACAGGTATGACCGTTGAGTATTCTCTATAGACAACCCAGTGCATGTGCTGTTGAGTAGCACCCGCATGCGAGTGCTAGGTATTCTCTGAGTTGACATGGCTAATGTTTGAGTTGATTCAACCAGTGTCGAGGGAGTGAGGGAGAGGAGAGAGGGGGGAGATGTGGGCAAGCAAAGCAGTAGCAAGTGCGCGTCTCAGCGAGCCCATCATTCCATGCCAGCACCATCAAACCACCCGCACAGCACATGAGTCTTCGCTTCATGTGCCCTTATACCGAGGTGACTTTTGAGTCGACTCAAAAGTCACATGAGTCTTCGCTTCATGTGCCCTTATACCCCAGTGCCCATATAGCAGATAGCAGCGTGCGTCCACGAGGCATACAGTGTGACTTGTACTCAGATTCACATTGTACTCTCAACCAATTTCTGTGCTTCCCTTCCCCCATCCATTCCCCCATCCGTTCCCCCATCCGTTCCCCCATCCGTTCCCCCATCCGTTCCCCATCCTCCCCCCATGCGTCCGCACATGCCCCATTCCCATCCTTCCCCCCATCCTCTCCCCCACCCGCCCTTGCAGGCAAGGTAGCAGCGTTCAGGGGGCATGCGGCGTGGCGTGGGCTCAGATTCCCTTCCTAACCATTCCCGCCCTTCCTAACCATTCCCGCCCTTCCTAACCATTCCCACCCTTCCTAACCATTCCCGCCCTTCCTAACCATTCCCGCCCTTCCTAACCATTCCCGCCCTTCCTAACCATTCCCGCCCTTCCTAACCATTCCCGCCCTTCCTAACCATTCCCGCCCTTCCTAACCATTCCCGCCCTTCCTAACCATTCCCACCCTTCCTAACCATTCCCGCCCTTCCTAACCATTCCCGCCCTTCCTAACCATTCCCGCCCTTCCTAACCATTCCCACCCTTCCTAACCATTCCCGCCCTTCCTAACCATTCCCGCCCTTCCTAACCATTCCCGCCCTTCCTAACCACTCCCATCTTTTGCCCTGTCGCGCACCCCCCACCCCACCCACCCGAGCAGGCAAGATAGCAGCATCCACGGGGCATGCGGCGTGGGTGACGAGCCGCGAGGCGCGGCAGCGGGTGTTTGATGTGCGCAGCCTCTCAGACGCGATTATCGTGGGGGGCAACACCGTGCGCCGCGACAGTGAGTCCAAAGTGGGGTGTGTGTGTTCATGTGTGTGTGGCTGTTGAGGCAAATCAGCAACAGTGAGCATGTGTGTTTGATGTGCGCAGCCTGTGGGATGCCACCGTTGTTGGGGGTAACACCATAACATGACAGGGTCTCTCCAACGAGTGCGTGTGTGTCTCTTCGCAGGCGCCTCCCTCCACTCCACTCCCACCCTCTCCCACCCACTCCCACCCCCCCAAGCTCCCCCCACCGCCCATTTTCCTGCCTCCCATTTCCTCCTCACCTCCCGTACTCCCTCTCTTCTCCCATCCCCCTCTTCCCCTCCCCAGACCCACGGCTCACCACGCGCAGGGAGGGCGGGCACGTCCCCGTGCGCAAAGTCATGTCGCGCTCCCTCCTTCTCCCACCCTTTCTCTACCTCCCCTTCCCCCTGCCCCTCCTTCCGCTTCCCTCACACCCCCCCTCCCCCATCCCTCCCTCCACCAGACCCCCGTCTGACAACCCGCAGGGAGGGCGGGCACGTGCCTGTCCGGATCGTGATGTCGCGCTCGCTACGCTTGCCAGAGGACGCCAACCTGTGGGACGTGGCCATCGCGCCCACCGTCGTCATGACGCAGCGCGGCGCCAAGGGCGACTTCTGTGCGCGCCTGCGCGCCCGCGGGTGCGAGGTCGTGGAGTTTGACTTCCTGTCTCCGCGCGCTGTCATGGAGTACTGCCACCAGCGCGGCTTCATGCAGGTGGGCGTGGGTGGGTGGGTGGGTGGGTGGGTGGGCTCATCGCACGGGAGTGGGTGGGTGCTATGCTATAGGGGGTGTGCACGTTTGAATGTAGGAAATTCTTCTCCTCCTTTCGCTACCTGCTGTCATGGACTACTGTCACCAGTGGGGCTTCATGCAGGTGGGTCAGTTCTCAGTTGTTGGCAGCACATGTGCAATGGACACGCTCCCTGCTGAGCTGTGCACCAGCAGACAGACGGCTTTCTCGCTTCCTCTCTGCACTCTCTTCTCTCTGCACTCTCTTCTCTCTGCACTCTCTTCTCTCTGCACTCTCTTCTCTCTGCACTCTCTTCTCTCTGCACTCTCTTCTCTCTGCACTCTCTTCTCTCTGCACTCTCTTCTCTCTCTGCACTCTCTTCTCTCTCTGCACTCTCTTCTCTCTCTGCACTCTCTTCTCTCTCTGCACTCTCTTCTCTCTGCACTCTCTTCTCTCTGCACTCTCTTCTCTCTGCACTCTCTTCTCTCTGCACTCTCTTCTCTCCGCACTCTCTTCTCTCTGCACTCTCTTCTCTCTCTGCACTCTCTTCTCTCTCTGCACTCTCTTCTCTCTCTGCACTCTCTTCTCTCTCTGCACTCTCTTCTCTCTCTGCACTCTCTTCTCTCTCTGCACTCTCTTCTCTCTCTGCACTCTCTTCTCTCTCTGCACTCTCTTCTCTCTCGCCTCTCTTCTCTCTCGCTTTCCGTCCCCACCCCGCAACTCCACTCTCCTCCCCCCCACTTTTCCATCACTTTCCGAATCTCTCTCTCTCTCCTCGCTTCACCCCTCCCTTTTCCTCTTCCCGCACCCCCTCTTCTCAGGTCTTATGGGAGTGTGGCGGAACCCTCTCAGCGCCGTGCATAGCGGGCGGGGCCATACACAAGGTGATGGCATTTGTGGCGCCCAAGATCATCGGGGGCGGTCGGTCATAGCCTGCCCCATACAACCCCCCACCCACACAGGCCTTGTGGCCGTGCAGAGGCGTGCTGCCCGCCCCTCGTGTTGTATCCACCAGCGGGACCCCATAGCTTCCTCACCTTCTCTCCTCCCTCTCCACCCCACTCCACCCCATTAGGTCCTGTGGGAGTGTGGCGGAACCCTCTCAGCGCCGTGCATAGCGGGCGGGGCTATCCACAAGGTGATGGCGTTCGTGGCGCCCAAGATCATCGGGGGAGTGACGGCGCCCTCCCCTGTGGGCGACCTGGGCTTTGTTGAAATGACCCAGGCTCTGGAGCTCGCTGACGTCAGCACCGAGATTGTGAGTTGCTGGGGTGGAGGGTGGGGGTGAGGAGGGATGGGTGGAAGGAGAGGGGAGAGGGGTGAGCGGAGCGTGAGAGTGGCAGGGGTTTTTTGAGGGGCAGTGAAAGCGCTGGGCAGGGAGTGTGAGATCACCAGGGGAGTGACGGCGCCCTCCCCCGTGGGCGACCTGGGGTTTGTGGAGATGACCCAGGCTCTGGAGCTCGCGAATAGGAGCTCAGCACGGAGATTGTGAGTCACGGATAGAGGGGAGGGTAGGATAGGGCTGGCTAGGAGGGAGAGGAGAGGGGAGGGCAGGTGAGGGGAGGGAAGGGTACGGTAGGGGAGTGGAGGGGATAGGGAGGGTAGGGGAGGAGAGCGAGGAAGGAAGAAGGAGGGTGGTGAGTAGCGAGTGGGAGTGGTGACGGGGTTTGGCACTGCTTATGACATGCTATCTGCACCTCCTACCCACCCACCCACATATCTGCGAGCTCATCTATCTCCCCTCCCATATCTCTCGAAATCACACCTCTCTGGCGTTCTGTCATTGCTTGCTTTGCACCAATCATCCCTCCCTCCTCTCTCTCTCCCCGCCCTCCCCCCCCCCCCCCCCCCCCCCCCCCCCCCACGTGCTCCCCCCACTTGACCTTGCCTGGTGATGGTCAGATCGGGCGGGATCTGCTCATGACGGGCTATCTGCACCCTCTCCCCACCGATCCCCCCGTTCTGCCCCAAACGCCCACCTTCGAATGTAGACGTAAGTCCTCTCCACTCTCAACTCCACTCCCTTCCTACCATTCAATTCAGTTGTCACAAGTCTGCATTGTCTTCGCTCCCTTGGGTATACAGAGGGAAGTAAGTCCTCTCTTTGCTCTGAAGAATGAAGAGTCGTTTGACTGCCTTCGCCTTATGAGGTGTCTCTAGAGCCTTCTGACTGCTTTTGCTTTTTCCCTCTTGGCGCACTCTCTGTGTTGATTTGCTGTTTGGCTGCCCCACCATCCATCCATCCATCCATCCATCCATCCATCCATCCCATCCATCCATCCATCCATCCATCCATCCATCCACATCCATCCATCCATCCATCCATCCATCCATCCATCCATCCATCCATCCATCCATCCATCCATCCATCCATCCATCCATCCATCCATCCATCCATCCATCCATCCATCCATCCATCCATCCATCCATCCATCCATCCATCCATCCATCCATCCATCCATCCATCCATCCATCCATCCATCCATCCATCCATCCATCCATCCATCCATCCATCCATCCATCCATCCATCCATCCATCCATCCATCCATCCATCCATCCATCCATCCATCCATCCATCCATCCATCCATCCATCCATCCATCCATCCATCCATCCATCCATCCATCCATCCATCCATCCATCCATCCATCCATCCATCCATCCATCCATCCATCCATCCATCCATCCATCCATCCATCCATCCATCCATCCATCCATTCCATCCATCCATCCATCCATCCATCCATCCATCCATCCAACCAACCATCCATCCATCCACCCATCCATCCCCCTGCCTCTGCCCGCCTCACTCAATCTCACTATCACCTCAACCTCATCCCTTAACCTCGTCATGCTTTCTCTCCCCTCCCCTGACTTTTTTGTACCCCCGTGGCCATCTCAGTGACTCCTCCAGCCACTCCCGGCCCGCCACCTGTCATTTCTTTCTACAAATCATGGGACCCTTTTGGTGCCTTTTCCAACTTCTCCCCGCATCCTATCCGCCTCCCCCTGGTCCTCCCCCTCTCTCTCCCTTCCTCCCCCTATGCCAACGCTGCTGCTGCCGAGGAGGAAGTGGTGCTATGGCAAACAGTCGAACATTTTTATCAGGTGAGAACGGGGTTTGTTGCAAGTTTATTATTCCTTGTGAGCAGGGCTCTCTTGGGACTGCCATGCCAACCGTACCTCCCCTCCTGTCTGTCACTAATTCCCAAGCAGGCTCAAAAGTTCACATTCTCACTATATGAATATGACGCGGCACTGGCAGTGCGGGAGATTCGGGAAGCTGAAACTCCGGAAGAGGCTGCTCGGATCGGCCGTGCTCTGGAGCGGAAGAGACCAGACCTTGTATGTGGGGCGTGCATGGGAGTGTGTGTGGAGTGTGCATGGGAGCGTGTGTGGATAGGGCATGGTATTGTGTGTGACGTTCAGGCCTAATGCATGCTTCCCAATTCACCTTCTCATTCCAAATTACCTTCTTCATTCATAATCCCCTTCTAAACCTCATCCCTCCATTTCCTCACCCGCACCTGCTTGCTGGCAGCTGCGGCCGAACTGGCAGGAGGAGAAGCTAGCAGTCATGCGGGCGGCGCTAAGAAAGAAATTCACGACGTACCCACATCTGAAAGAACTCCTGCTTTCCACTGGAGATTCACCTCTTGTCGAGGCGTCTACGCACGATTTCTTCTGGGGGAGTGGGTGGACACGGAGGGGGAAGAACAACCTTGGGGTTTTGCTGATGCGGTTGCGAAATGAGTTGCTGGTAGAGAGCCGAGGCGAGTAGGGCCTGGTAGCTAGTTAGGGCGATCGCGGCGATTTGCATTACGCTTTCATGCTTTAGGGCCATGTGATTTTCTATGACTCCTGGTGGTTGCGAACGCCTGACGGTCACTGCTGCAATTTATTACAGTAGCTCGATCTACCCTTAGAACCTTCGAGCTAGACATGTGCTTCGTGAAGGATAACTCAGTTTTGCGAAGTTCATAGCCTGAAGGTAGGCTGGCAACTGCTGAAAAGGTATGTCCCAGGTTTTAAAGTAGAACATCAAAATCCCTAATTGTCAGACAAAATTTCAAGAGTAGCGATAGCGATTAGTTCTCAAACAGATGTGCTTGTCGGCTGAAAATACTAGCGAAGGAGTGCTATAGCGAGTTGCATTAGTGGCAAACGTACTCCACGTGGAGGTGGCTTCCGCCGTGAATTTTCTACCACTCGTTGTCGAACATGTGGATGTACATGTCGCGGTGACCGATGGGTTTGAAACATGCATTTTTTGCTACACGCACTTTTGTACATTTCCTCATATCCGCCACTTCAGTGTACAGCACACTGCGGGGCATCCCCAAAATTCGAGTTGGTGGCTCGTTGGACAGAACACCAGACATTTATTTGAGCTGATTCTGGTCTTTTGAATGTATCTCCCCCTGCGATGAGATACTCCCTCGAGAACATCGTCAGAGCCACGTCGGCGACGGTTCGAGCCACCACACACACCTTTCCAAGTCTTCAGGATGGCCAATCAGCGAAGGGTTTTGATAGCGCGCATTGGGTTGGCGGCGAAGAGAACGTCATGCTTTCGAGGCGCGCGCCTCTTGCCATTCATGACTTCTGGTTTCTTCTGCCTCGGCCAGGTAGTTTTTCAGCAGATCACAATTTCCATAGAGATATACGAATGAACCTGGCTGCAGTAGGTACAGTAGATACACGAACTTGCAGCAAGAAATGTCAAATTTTGTACCACGATTCATCACATGAGAACCGAAGTGAATGGTTAGTAGGAGGTCAGAGAAACCAACTACTAACACGCGCATAACCAGATTAGTAGGTGGGAGGGAGACGAGGGCGAAGGCTTGTTTTGGGTTTTAACCAGAGAAAGTGAGCATAGAAGTGAGACCAGTTTCTCTTGATTGAACACTGAACAGCAGCCAGCTCCTTTTGCGCGTGAAGTGAACTTCTGCCGAGTTAAAGTGAGTCACGAAGTAGTCGGACTCGCAAGACGAAGGCGGCGGGGCTCGCGGAGCAAAGAGACGAACTGCGCGTCTCACACAACTCAATTTGATCCGCCGAATCTCGACCTCACAAGCCCCCAGCTCTTCCTCCAACCCTTTCTTCAGAGATTTGGCCATGGCGTGTTTATCTTCGCAACCGTTGATCGCTGCTGGATCCCCAGCTGCTGACTTCTCCGCCGTCCGATCCCGGTCAAACGTATCGACATTTGCTGCTACGCCAATCTTTCCCGTCCAATTTTCTCATCCAGCTTTAGACACTAGATTCAAAGTCCAATGCCTGCTTGGTCGAGATTCAACCCGTGCTGTCCCGTCGAAGCGCCTCTCGCTTCGCCGATTCTCAGTCAAGTGCACCTCTGCCGAACCACCAGCCCCAAGACATGCGCCGACGCAAGATTCGTCGCGCTCTTCCCGCCACGTTTGCCAATCATCTCAAAGCAATGGCGCGATCGTGCACGAGGATGCGCGGGAGGAGAAAAACGACGAGGCGCGGGAGACAAGCAACGGAAAGAGACAGGACCGGGACGGGGAAACGGCATCTGCGACCCGTATCACCGACGGGCACATGAGCCGTGACTCGGCGGGTATTGCGCCTCTGAGCGCGGCGGAAGAGGCGGCGCGGATCGAGGAGATGGGCGGTATGGCGGTGATGCAACGACCGTCAGTGACGGAGCCAAGCGGTACGCATAGCAGCAGCATCAGCAGCGCACATACCAGCAGTGCGGAAACAGGGTCCGCGGAAGGGTCTGCGGCGGAGGGAGGATTTGGCGCGCCGCTGTGGGCGGACATTCGGCGCAAGGTTCCGCACGTGGGGAGCGATGTGCGCGACGGGCTGCATCCCGCCGCGGCGGCGAGCACGATGTTCCTCTTCTTCGCGTGCCTCACCCCGTGCATCGCGTTCGGCGGGTAAGCCATGGCGGCGCGGTTGGTTCGTCGGTCGGAATTCCAGTAATTCCTTTTCACACTGCGCTTCTTTGCTGCTAAGAAGCTCCGGGGATTCCGTTTCCTTGCATCAATCTCTCCCCTCTAGAAGACGTTCCGTTTTTTACTTATGTCCGGAAGTCCTTGCAACTTAACCTCCTTTTCCAATTACTTCTGTTTTTCTCTCTGCGCAATCGTGCTGACGTCAGGTTGACGGCCGCGCAGACAGGTGGCGCCATCGGAGTGGTTGAGACGATTCTCGGGACTGCGAGTGAGTAGCTCTGCAGTGTCTCTGTCATTTCTTCTCCTTCCCGTTCCCCATCCACCTCCCCTTCCCCTTCCCCCTCAACGCTCTTCTCCTGCACCCACACGTTTGTTCCGCTCTCCCTTTCCGCATCCGCCTCCTCTTTCCCCGCCATGCCTCTTTCCCCTTTCTCCTTCCTCTCGCCCTCTCGCCCTCTCGCACCATCCAGCAACGCCGTGTATCCCTCTCTTCCTTCCCTATCCTCGACCTTCCTCCCCTTCCCCCCGACACTCTCTCTCTCCGCAGTATCCGGCGTGGTCTACGCCATGTTTTCCGGCCAGCCGCTCACGCTGCTCGGCCCCACAGGCCTCGTCGTCGTCTTCACTGGCCTGCTCTATAAGGTGAGCTTCGCGATTCGTTAGAAGGTCAGCTTTGAAATATATCAAGCTTCGATATAAGGGGTGCTACAAAGTTGCGCTTCGTTACAAGGTGAGCTTTGATACATAAGTTCCGCCTCACTATTGGTCTCCCCTATAAAAGTTGAGCTTTGGTACCATCCCCTCCGTCCCGCATCCCCTTCCTCTTCCCCGTTCACACGTGGGTGACCCTCGATTGGCGGCTGCGGCATCTCTCTGCATCTCCCTGCATCTCTCTGCATCTCCCTGCATCACCCTGAATTGCATCCTTCCCGCTTACCCCCCCTAACTTCCCCCGTCCAGTCCGCAGCAGCGCTGCCGCTGCCGTTCTTGCCCGTGTACGCGTGGGTGATCGTCGAGCGGCGGCTGCCGCATCACCCTGCCCCTTCCCCATTCCCTTCTTCCCCCGTTTCCCCTTCCTTCCCTCCTCCCCCCCCGCCCCTCCTCATCCAGTCGGCAGCAGCGTTGGCGCTGCCGTTCCTGCCGGTGTACGCGTGGGTGAGCGTGTGGTCCGCCGCCTTCCTGCTCGTTCTCTCGCTCACTGGCGCTAGCGACCTGGTGAGACTGAGTGTCGGAGGGGGGAGGAAGGAGCGGGAGGGGGGAGGGGGGAGTGGGGAGGGGTGAAGGAGGAACGCGGATTTGGGGAATGGCGGAAAGCCGGGGGGAAGGATTGGGGAGGGTTGGGGGTTGGGGAACCGACTAGGAAACAAGAGGGTAACGATAAGGGGGAGTTGTGAAAATGTGGGTGGTAGCAACAAGGATGGGTGGGACTTGTTGACAATGATCTATGATGTTCACAGTGGGATCAAGGGCTCTTTTCTTCTAAATGCATTGATTGACATGTTGCAAGAGACATGTTTTGCTTGCAACTCAGGTGATGTCCATGCAACATGCCTCATCTCCTCGTTTCCTTTCTTCCCTCCTCCCTCTCCATCCTCCCTCTCCCCTTCTCGCATCTCTTGCCCCCGTCCTCACTACCCCCCCCATCAGATTGACTTTTGAGTCGACTCAAAAATGCCCCGCGTCCTCACTACCCCCCCCCCCATCAGATTCGTCTGTTCACGCGGTTCACGGACGAGACCTTTTCGCTTCTCATCTCCCTCGGATTCATTGCCGAGCCCTGCAAGGTGGGTGAGGGATAGTCAGGGATGTGGGAGGGAAGGAATGTGTGAGGGTTGAGTGATGGGGAAGGTGTGAGGTGAGTGAGTGGCAGGGTTTGTTGTGGCGGGAGAAAAGAAGCAGGAGAGGCAGGATTGTTGTGCTAGTGTGATGACCTTCGCTCCAACGCTTCCAGCTTCACAGCCCCACCTCTTCCGCACCCCGCCCTTTCCCCTCCTCTCCCAGAAACTGGCAGCGAATTTCGCAGCGGCCGCAGCAGCAGCGACAGCAGCAGGCGCAGCAACAGCAATGACCGCTGCAAGCAGTATCAGCAGCGGCGGCAGCAGCATCGTGGGAGGGGGCATGATGACGTCTAGCGTGGCCCTGCTCTCCATGCTCGTGGCTGTTGCAACCTGGCGACTCACCTCCTTCCTCTCCTCGGTATGGCAGCCAGCCAGCACTTTCGTCCTCCTTTCCTCTTTTTACTCTCTTGAATTCCTCCTTGTAACAATCTCTGTAAAACTCTTTCTATGCTCTTTCAAGAAATGTCCTCACCACTCTCCTTTTCTCTCTCTTTCACTTTCCCCACGCCCACCCCCTCCCCCGCTGCACCCCATCCCAAACCAGTTCCGCGACTCCTCATACCTCACCCAACCCATCCGCACCGCGCTCTCCGACTTCGCCGCCCCGCTCTCCATCCTCCTCATGTCCACCCTCCCTACGCTTCTCCTCCCCTCCATCACCCTCCCAACACTCGCCGCTCCCGCACACATCGTCACAACCAGCGGCCGCCCCTGGCTCGTGCCGATCCTGGGCTCCCTCCCCCCATGGGCCATGCTGCTGTGCGCGGTGCCAGCGGCGCTGCTCACTCTGCTGGTGTTTCTGGATCAGAACATCACCACCAGGCTTGTGGATGCGCCGGGGAATGGGCTGGTCAAGGGCAGTGGATACCACCTCGACCTGGCAGTGCTGGCAGGTGAGTGAGTGAGGGAGTGGGTGGGTGTGTGAGAGAGTGAGTGAGTGAGCGAGGGAGGCCATGGCCGTCTGTTTCTCTCCCCTCGTGGCCGTCAACCACGAGGTTTGTGGATACCTTTTGAGA